GCCAGCCAGGGTCAGCTTCCCGGCCTGCTGTCCTCTGTGTAGCGTCTGGATGGCTGTTGAAGATATACATTTAAAAGTTTTCAGCATATAGATGATTTTCAAAGTCATGGCCTTAGATGATGCCACCAAGGGAGAAAATACAGCTAAAGAAAAGAAAGGAATTAGGACCTAATCCTGAGGACCGGTGACAGTGACAGACCAGTGGTTCTCAATCTTCACTGCACAGCACCTGCGGGACAGGACACAATACTGATTTCTGGGCCCCACCCCAGAGGTGCAGTAGGTCCGGGGGCGGGGGGTCTGTGACAGGGACCACACTTTGAATTTGAGAAAGAGAAGGAGGGGTGGCTGGTGAGACAGGAGGGAAACCAAAGAGGGTTCTAGACTCAGAGAGGAGTCGGAAGTGAACTGAAGTGGGCATGGAAGGTGAGGGAGACGCTGCTTCTGAGTTTTAACCTGAAGGGAGCAGAGGAGAGGGCAGCTGAGAAGAGTGTGTGGGTAAGAGAGGGTGCTTGAAACTCTGTCACTGGAGGGTCTTCTTCAGGGGGAGTCCCTGAGGTAAACTGAAGCTTCTAGAACCTCAGCAGTGATGACTGTGGTGGCTCCTGGTGGTGAGAATGCCTGGCAAAATATAAGAGTTTTTTGGAATAAGTGTGAAAATCTGGGTGGCACCCATAGCTCAGTGGGTAGGGCGCTGGCCACATACAGAGGCTGGTGCGTTCCAACCCAGCTGGGGCTGTTAAAACAATGACAACTGCAAAAAAAAAAAATATATAATAACCGGGCATCGTGGCAGGCGCCTGTAGTTCCAGCTACTCGAGAGACCAAGGCAAGAGAATCGCTTAAGCCCAAGAGTTTGAGGTTGCTGTGAGCTGTGACACCATGGAACTCTACCCAGGGCGATAGCTTGAGACTCTGTCTCATAAGAAAAAAATGTGTGAAATATGTCAAAGGTGTATTAACTTTGTAAATAATCATTTTGTACGTTGGACCACTGCTTAGTCAGCATATTCTGCAGGTTCGCATTCCCAGATGCTCCGTTTGCAGGGCCTGTCTCTACACGGCCTCCCTGTGACTCCCACGACAGCACATCCTCCGGGCCCTGCCTCCGCCTCGTGCCGGGCTCTTCTTTACCAGGACGAACACAGCCTCCTTCTGGACCTTTTTCCTCAGCTGGATCCCTGTCTTTTTGTTTTGAGTGCCGCCAGCCAGGGTCAGCTTCCCGGCCTGCTGTCCTGACCACATTGCTCTTTTCCTCCGAGCCCTTGGTGTTTAAAACGCTTACCGTTGGTTTGTCACGCATTAAATTCTAACTCTGCTTCAACTTATATTCTGCATCTTGTTTTCAGAAGCTTTGTTTTCTTGTCTTGTGGCATTTTCTTGAGAGGCACACGAATTTTCATTGCTTTAATTTTCTGATGGCCCTTTGTTTCTTTGAATGAGACTTTATGCCAAGACTGGAAAGAGAGCTGCGCTGGCTTTATGTAAGTCACAATTGCTTGACTGGGACAACAGTGGAAGATACCCAAAAGATGTTAAATGTGTGACATCAGAATAAAAGTTAATAGCATATAGTAGAAGTGAAGTTGAGTGTCAAAATCAATAATATGAAAATAAAAGTGGTTGGAGGTCACGTCAGAGCTCATGGGCAGTTCTGTTCTTTCTTTTCTTTTCTTTTCTTTTCTTTCCTTCCTTCCTCCCTTCTCTCTCTCCCTTCCTTCCTTCTCTCTGTCTCTCCCTCCCTCCCTCCCTTCCTGCCTTCTCTCTGTCTCTCCCTCCCTCCCTCCCTTCCTGCCTTCCTTCTTTCCTTTTCTTTCTTCCTCATATTATCATATTAAATCAAGA